AATTCAGTTTCTGCTGTCATCCCAGCTGGAAATGAGAAAGGCACGCGACTCCAGGTGGTCTCCATCTGCCTCTGGGCCACACGTGCAGGACATTAGGCTGCCGCAGGAGCAGCTCAATGCTGAGTTCTTAGAGACCTTGTAGAGGAGGAAAGCTTGCCTGCCTTGGAGCCTGACAAAGCCTTTCTGCACAGAAGTGTCACTGTTTAAAAATGAGAAGGGAGAGAACTGAAATCACATTAGAATGCACAGAAAATTCTTAAAACAAAAGTATAATGAGAGAAACTTTCTCAGAATGTGAAAAGAACTCTAAAGCTACAGTGCTGAAGAGGGGCACTGCTGGAACTACAGTGAAAAGGTTCATAGAACACAGTGGAAAATGCAGGAAGAGAGCCATGTGTATGTAATATTTTACCATGTGATAAAATACGTTACTATCTACAAGGAAATTGTCAATTATTTAATAAGTCCTTTTTGGTGTATTGACTTCCATGTGGAAACTAACATTCTTGAATTTCTACCTTACAAGTTACAGTGATGCAGTTGTGATTTAAAAAATCATTATACTCAAAGAATGATGAACAGCATAAAATTCTAGGTGAGATTGGCCCTCTAAGCCTGACATCAAACTAGAGACCCTAGAAAAATTGACAGCTTTTTTAGTTTTATTGTTTCAAAGTTCAACAATAGGTGCCAAAATATAAATAATAACCAATGAGCAAAAATGTTCTCAGCATATTTGATAAAGGGTCTGTGTCCCTAAAATGCTATGTATTAATTCTTACGAACCAATAAGAAAATATTAATTCCGAAAAGAAGAATAGGCAGAGTATGACAAGGGAATTCACAAAAGAAGAACTCTAAATGACCTATGAAGGTGTATAATAATGCTAGGACTCCTAGAGATGAGGGAATGCTAATTGAATTAACAAGTCTCATTTTTGAAACCACAGAGGATTGCAATCATTATCAAATTAAATATATGACTTAGGGAACCTCAGTCAACCCATCAATTTCTTCTGTATTATATTCAATGGTGCTTTCATCTCTGATTCAAGTTTTTATGTACATTAAATAAAATATGTATATCATGTGCTTAGTACATTAACTACCAGAACGTCAGCACCCATATTTACCATCAATAGTATTATTACTATTATTATTAATGTTTTGAGACATAGTCTTGCTCTGTTGCCCTAACTGGAGTACAGTAATGTTATCTTAGCTCACTGACACCTCCAGCATCCAGGCTCAGGAGATTCTCCTGCCTCAGCATCCAAAGTGGATGGGATTACATGTGTGTGCCACTACAGTCAGCTAATTTCCTATATTTTTAGTAGAGACAGGGTTTCACCACTTTGGCTAAGCTGGTGTCAATCTCCTGGCCTCAAGTGATCCTAAGGACTCCACTACCGCATTGCTGGGGTTCCAGGCATGAGCCACCGGGCCTGGCCAGTATTAATATTATTAATATAGTAATTCTTGTATAAAAATCCTGAAAGATCAGTCATGCCATGATTAAATAATCAATGCATAAAAACATTCAAATAAATGCTATGGACTTCTTTATGCAAACTTAGGAAGTATGTGCACCTTTAGAAACACAAAATCCAGAGACAGGAAAATAAAAGATTCTTTAAATGTATAAAAACCCAATATAAGAATGAAAATATAAATATGGCATTGAAAAAGAAACAATACATATGGCACTATGACAGAATGAAAAAGTTCAAGTAAACTGATAAAAGTATTTTTACCTCTAGTGTCAGGGAGCAAAGAGGAATGAGAAATCTAGAATGGAAGCTAAAAGCTTCAAATGCATCTCCTTTTATAATTTTGACTTCAGTTCCATGTAACTGTTTAGAACAGAATAGTACAGCAAATACCCAAATTTTGGGGGGTATAAAAAATGATAACTGAATATAAAAATATAAATGAAAACTGAACAATTACACTAGCTATATCAATATTGGCATGAAGAAATAGAGAAAAATTATTGCAATGATTTTGTGGAGAAAGTATTCTAATTATGTACATATCCCCCAACAAAAGAGAAAAGCCAGGAAGGAAAGAAGGAAAAAAAGAAAGGAGAATAGATGGAACGAAGGAAGGGAACGAGGCAGGAAGGAAAGGAGGAAGGAGGGAGGGAGAGAAAAAAGCATGCAAGGAAGAAAGCAGAGAGAGAGAAAGGCAGGGCAGAGGGAGAGAATGAGCAACCGCATATCTAGGCTAGTGATTGAGTGGGAATTACAGTATTGCTTCTATTGTTATAATCCCAAGGAATAAGCACGAGACTCAGCTGCGATCCCTGGATCATGATTGGATACATCATGAGTATAAATACACTTCCCATTTGCTGTCCAGAGCATCTCGCTTCACAGCTGGACCCTAGGTCTACCTGTGTGTCCTAGGAAGCAGACTGACTGAGCCTCCCTGTGTCCTAGGAGAGCCGAGAGAATCTTGCTCTCAGGCATGCTTCTTAGCTGAGGTCTGGAGATGGCAGCTTGGTCTTCAGGAAAGTCCTGGGGGAGGGGTGGGGAACAGGGGACTGTGATATTAGGGGTAGATCGGGAGTAAAAAGTGTTTCTCTTTGTACAGAATACAGTAAATTCAGTGGCAGGAAATGAGAGGGGCAGCTAAGCAGCCACAAGGCAGATTTCAGTGTGGTGTAGTCAGGTCTGAACCACTGTGCCTGTCCCAGGTGGCAAAGTAGTAGACCCTAGAATGATTTTCATTTAGATTTCGCACTATCAATTTCGAACTCCTCATGATTGCATAGCTATCCCTCTTCCGTGGACTGACTCCTGAATCCAACGTAACCCTGGCGTTGTAGGGCCTTCACCTCCTGGTGGAGGTACCAGTGGATGTATCTGGTATTTTCTCCAGGAAGATCACAAGTGATTACAGCAGATGACCCAGTTGTCCCAGTGGCTGACTTCATTCTCCCTTCCAAGTTGGAAGATACCTGACTGACTGCAATGGGAACAACACAAAACATAATGAGGCATTCCTTAGTATGGCATCCCTTGCAAAAGAAGAAAACAAAACCCTTGAGCCTCTCTGTAGGCAGCACACTCACCAGGAGGCAGGAAAGCTAGAAGCAGGGCTAGGGCCCACCCCATGCCTTCCTCTCTTGGGCCTTGGAAGGAAAGCGGCCAGGGAAGTGATCCCTAGCACAGTGAGGGGAGCTGGTCTTCCGGAGCCACAAGCAGAGGGAAGTGACTGAGGATCTGTCTTAGGGGACTCCCAAGCCTTCCTCCCGGAAGTGGTGGTGCCTGGGAGGACCTGCAGAGGAGCGCCTGCCTCTCTGCTCAGGCCCGTTCTCCAGCGCCCTCCTGTGGCAGCTGAGAGCAGGTCCTCTGCAGAAGAGAGCCAGGGGCAAGGAGAGCTCAGGCGGGCAGCAGCAGAGGGCTTGCAGACCTGGGGGAAGCCAATCCTGGAGTTAACAGGCCCAGCCCTTTCAGGGGGCACTTCACAACAGGCTGACAACCTGCACTGTAGTGTTTTGGCAGGTAAAGCTGCTGCCAAGGCCTCATTGTGCCAGGAAGCTTCTGATTAGGGCCCGGAACCACCTTCTTTTTTGAATCTGCAGGGAAAAAGGAGGCAGCACCCATGGCTACTCTCCTTTATTAAGAGTACTGAGGGTGAGGTATGTTGGTGGGTCTTGGACTCTCGTCTAAATTAAATGGGTGTGCGGACATGAGGTTGGGGGTGTCATGTGTCAGTCAGGCCTTCATAGGACCTTGTGGGCGTGGTCTCTTAGAGGATTTTTTAAGCATTGAAGTAGGAATGTGAGTTTTTTCGTTTTTTTGTTTTTTTTTTTTTGAGTAGTACAGGATGACGTGTCATGCAATATTTGGAACATACTTAAACTAAATCTTGGTATTTATCTGAACTTCCGCATTTCCAGGGCACTCGATACTTTATTTGGCAGCCCTACCCTCAGAGCTCAGACTGCTATCTGCAGGGCACCTGGTTTCTCAGATGGAGATCTAGGCAACAAAACGAGTCCAGTAAAACAATCGTGAAAATCCAGTAGTGCACACAGATTTTCACCTCCTCTGTAGCAAATATGTTTAGACACACGTTTAAAATATGCAGAATAAGATGCAGAAGTGTGTCCCTCTCGGTTGTTGTGTTGGCCTAGCTCAGAGAATTCAGTTTCTGCCGTCATCCCAGCTGGGAATGAGAAAGGCACGCGGCTCCAAGTGGTGTCCATCTGCCTCTGGGCCACACGTGCAGGACATTAGGCTGCCGCAGGAGCAGCTCAAAGCTGAGTTCTCAGAGACCTTGTAGAGGAGGGAAGCTTGCCTGCCTTGGAGCCTGACAAAACCTTTCTGGACAGAGGTGTCACGGTTCATAAATGAGAAGGGAGAGAACTGAAATCACGCTAGAATGGACAGAAAATTCTTAAGACAAAAATATGACGAGAGAACCTTTATCAGAATGTGAAAAGAACTCTAAAGCTACAGTGCTGAAGAGGGGCAGTACTGGAACTACAGTGAAAAGGTTCATAGAACACAGTGGAAAATGCAGGAAGAGAGCCATGTGTATGTAATATTTTACCACGTGATAAAATGATACGTTAATATCTACAAGGAAATAGTCAATTATTTAATAAGTCCTTCTTGGGGTATTGACTTCCATGTGGAAACTAACATTCTTGAATTCCTACCTTACCAGTTACAGTGATGCAGTTGTAAATTAAAAAATCATTACACTTAAAGAATGATGAATTGCACAAATTTCTAGTTGAGATTGGCCTCTCTGTGCCTGACATCAAACTACAGACCATAGAAAAACCGACAGCTTTTATTGTTTTATTGTCTGAAAGTTCAATTCAACAAAAGGTGCCAAATACAAATAATACCCAATGACGAAAAATATTCTCAACACATTTGGTAAAGGGTCAGTGTCTTTAAAATGGTTTGTATTAGTTGTTATGAACCAATAAGAAAATATGAATCCCCCAAAAGAAGAATAGGCAGAGTATGACAAGACAATTCACAGAAGAAGAACTCTAAATGACCTATGAAGGTGTATAATAATGCTAGGACTCCTAGAGATGAGGGAATGCTAATTGAATTAACAAATCTCATTTTTGGAACCACAGAGCTTGCTTTGCAATCATCATATTAAAGTATATGACTTAGGGAACGTCAGTTAACCCTGAATTTCTGTATGACATTCAATGGTACTTTCATTCCTGAATGAAGTTTCTATGTAGATTAAATAAAATATGCATATCATGTGCTTAGTTAATTAACTACCGGAATGTCAGTACTCATATTTACCATCAGTAGTATTATTCTTAATGTTTTTGAGGCATAGTCTTACTCTGTTGTCTAAACTGGAGTGCAGTAGTGTGATGTTAACTCACTGACCCCTCCACCTTCCAGGCTCAACAGATTCTCCTGCCTCAGCATCCAAAGTGGATGGGATTACATGTGTGTGCCACTACAGGTGGCTAATTCTTTTTACTTTTAGTAGAGACAGCGTTTCACCACTTTGGCTAAACTGGTCTCAATCTCCTGGCCTCAAGAGATCCTAACGACTCGACTACCCCAATGCTGGGATTCCAGGAATGAGCCACCGGGCCTGGCTGGTATTCCTGTTATCAATATAGTAATTATTGTATAAAAATCCTGATAGATCAATGATGCCATCATTAAGTAATCAATGCATAAAAACATTCAAATAGATAATAAGGAATTCTTTATGCAAACATAGGAAGTATGTGCTCCTTTAGAAGTAAAACAAAATCCAAACACAGGAAAATGAAAGATTGTTTAAAATGTATAAAAACCCAATATAAAAATGAAAATATAAATATGGCATTGAAAAAGAAACAATACATACGGCACTATGACAAAGTGAAAAAGTTCAAGTGAATAATGAAAGTATTTTTACCCATAGGTTCAGGGAGAAAGAGGAATGAGAAATCTAGAACGGAAGCTAAAAGCTTCCAATGCATCATCTTTTAAAATTTGACTTCAGTTCCATGTAACCGTTTTATGTATACAAGCCAAGTATGAAACAGAAAATAATATAGCAAATACCTAAAATATAAAAATGAAAACTGAACAATTACACTAGCTATATCAATGTGGGCATGAACAAATAGAGAAAAATTATTTGAATGACTATGTGGAAGAAGTATTCTGATTATGTACCCCCCCCCAAAAAAAAAAATAAGAAAGGAAGGAAAGAAGGAAAAAAAGGAAGGAGAATTGATGGAATGAAGAAAGGGAACGAGGCAGGAAGGAAAGGAGAAAGGGAGAGAAAAATCAAGCAAGCAAGGAAGTAAGAAAGGAGAGAGAAAAATTCAGGGCAGAGGGAGAGAATGAGCAACTGCATATCTAGGCTAGTGATTGAGTGGGAATTACCGTATTGCTTATATTGTTATAAACATAAGGAATAAGCACCAGACTCAGCTGCGATGCCTGGATCATGATTGGATACATGATGAGTATAAATACCCTTTCCATTTGCTGTCTAGAGTATCTCGCTTCAGAGCTGGACCTTAGGTGTAGCTGTGTGTCCTAGGAAACAGAGTGAGTGGGCCTCCCCCGTGTCCTAGGAGAGCTGAGAGAACCTTGCTCTCAGGCAGGCTGCTTAGCTGAGGCCTGGAGATGGCAGCTTGGTCTTCAGGAAAGTCCTGGGGGATGGGTGGGGAACAGGAGCAGCTGCTGCCAGGGGAGTGTGATATTAGGGGGAGATCAGGAGTGAAGCTGTGATTCTCTTTGTACAGAATACAGTAAATTCAGTGGCAGGACATGAGAGGGGGCAGCTAAGGAACCAAGGCAGGTTTCAGTGTGGTGTAGGGCTGGTCTGAACCACTGTGCCTGTCCCAGGTGGCAAAGTAATAGACCATAGGATCATTTTCAATTCGATTTTGCACTATCAATTTCGAGCTCCTCGTCATGATTGCATAGCTATCCCTCTGCCCTGGACTGATTCCTGAATCCAACATAACCCTGGCGTTGTAGGTGTCACAGTACAGAAGACGCTGTGAGACCTTCCCCTCCTGGTGGAAGTACCAGTGGATGTATCTGGTATTTTCTCCAGGAAGATCACAAGTGATTACAGCAGATGACCCTGTTGTCCCAGTGACTGACTTCATTCTGCCTTCCAAGTTGGAAGATATCTGACTGGCTGCAATGGGAACAACAGAAAGCATAAAGAGGCATTACATGTATCACACCACTTCCAAAGAAGAAACAAAATAAGAACCATGAGCGTCTCTGTAGGCAGCACACTCACCAGGAGGCAGGAAAGCTAGAGGCAGGGCTAGGGCCCACCCATGCCTTCCTATCTGGGGCCTTGGAAGGAAAGGGACCAGGGAAGTGATCCCTAGCACAGTGAGGGGAGCTGGTCTTCCTGAATTACAAGCAGAGGGAAGTGACTGAGGATCTGTCTTAGGGGACTCCCAAGCCTTCCTCCCAGAAGGGGTGGTGCCTGGGAGGACCTGCAGAGGAGCTCCTGTCTCTCTGTTCAGCCACGTTCTCCAGCGCCCTCCTGTGGCAGCTGCGAGCAGGTCCACTGCAGAAGAGAGCCAGGTGCAAGGAGAGCTCAGGTGGGCAGCAGAGGGAGTGCAGACCTGGGGGAAGCCAATCCTGGAGTTAACAGGCCCAGCCCTTTCAGGGGGCACTTCACAACAGGCTGACACCCTGCACTGTAGTGTTTTGGCAGGTAAAGCTGCTGCCAAGGCCTCATTCTGCCAGTAAGCTTCTGATTAGGGCCCGGAACCACCA